GTAACATTTAAATCTGTGTCCAGGGAAGAAAAAATAGCCTTGCTCATTCCGCGTTCTCATTCCAGCCTTTAGGGGAAACTATTCAGGTAAGTCTTTCATTTTCCTGTTTCAGCCTCTTCAGTTTTGTGTGATTATCTTCGCGCAATGTGAATAATTTCCAGTCTTGAACGCTTACTAATACGTGTGCTGCATTGCGTGCTCAACAAATAACCGTGCAAGCTGCCTACAACACCGGTTCCCAATTCTAGGTTGTTCTAAGGCGGGATAAGGTTAAAAAATGTGCCAGAAGTCTTCTCTGTTTTTACTATTTAGCACTGTTCTCCGAACCAAGGACAAGCTTGTTTTTCCTTGCCGCAACAACAATGCAAAGGAAAAGCAATACACAATTATAACTAGCGCATTGAGAAACCCCGTTGTAATCGTTTACTGATGCAGTTGTGATTATTAAACGTATCAACTAGCCTTTAGTGTAAGGTCGCATGAACAATAGCTAACAATAACAGAGATCTAGTGGTAGCAACCTATTCTATTTAATGTTTATGATCTGGAGGCGCTGCATGTTTATAGTTTAAAATCGTCCCGGCCAAAGTAAACATACATCCTCATTTTCGTGGCGGCACAGCTTTTGATTGTTGTCTGTTCAATTTACTCCGAAATAGATCAGCACAAGTTAGAGAAGTCGCACTTCTTTTTCTAGAAATATATGGGAATTTTTGTTTGTTTTGCTTCTCGCTCAACTTTACTTTCTACAAGAAGGGATTTTGCTTTAAACGACCCGACGCAAGCAATTGTAAATTAGGTCAATTGGTCAATTAGTTCTCTTCTTGTCACCGCTTGTTTTTCGACATGAAACTTCACACGCCGCACTGACTTTGTTACCACACGTATTTTTTTTGTGGGGGATCTTCGGTTCTCCTTTTCATAATAACCTGTTTCTTTTCATTTTCTTAGTATAACAACGGTTTAATCCATCTTCCATCTTCATTCCGACACACCTTTCGACAGTTCAACTGATTGTATCGCACATACTTTCGTCTTCTGTGGCTTGGGAAATTTCCCAGAGAGGTTAAGGACAATGATTATTACTTTCTGTAGCTGTCCTTTGTTATTGTAGCTGTTCACTCCAAATGGAAGGATTTCAATGCGTCGATGAAGTGTCTTAAACCTTCGGAATACACGGCGTCTCGAGTCAAGTGACATATGGACGAAAATCCCCATAATTTAATATCGATGAGGGTAAATTTTAGCGTCAAGCCGAGTTTCCGGTGGGCGGATTAGCAGTCAAAAAGTCGGCATCCGGCATTCGTCCAATAGTTTGACAAGACAAGAATGTCAATGAGTTTGGTGAACGACAACCTTTGAAAATGAGTGCAGCGCTTGGTTTTAAATTCAACTAAAAGCAGTTTCGGGCTTGTGTGTGTTTTTTGTTCCCGCAAAATCTTCCAGTATTTACATGGCAATATAGATTACGTCGATTAATCTCCAGGAGGTTACAAAGAATTTTCCATCGCGTGAGTCCCGTAAGTTGCCGTGGCATGAAGCTGTGTGCAATCCTTTGACCCATCTTTCCTTTTCACCAATAATGCGATAACAGCTAAGGTCAAAAAGATGAGCTGGTTTAATTGTAAATAGGATATTGCATTCTTGGTGAAGAACAACAGATAGGTGTGCCAGGCACCTCTGCTTGGATGTGAGGTCGACAAAGCACTGAATCAAGTTATAACTGAATTTTCCATTCTGTCAACTTTCCAAGCATCCCGGCTGTTGACATAAATTGATATTTCACACCTACTGTGCGTCGACAGAAAATGAAAACACCGCTTTGTCACGATGAATGCCGATGTCAACAGTTTCAGGTCGGTTTACAGTCTCTGCCTTTTGTCAATAGACCTATCACTCTGCTGCCGACATCACGTCCACGGTAACTTTGCCACACAAGCTTGTCACGCAAGAAAACATATCAATGTAACCTTGCATCCCAAAGTTTGGCGTCGTCACTTTTTAGAGTGGACGTCAAAATAAGCGGACTAAGAATGCGTCAGTGACATCCCAACTTTCCACCAGCCTGAACTGTTTTCATTCCTTTTTTTTTTTTTTTTTTTAATTTTTCCTGATATTTTCCATCACAGATATTACAAATTCCTCTTTCCAGCATTTCCTAGTGGAGAAGGTGAATTAGTAATCAACAAACGAAAGGAATTATCTGCCCAGTTCTCGATCCGACCGAAGCCGCCTGATGTCAACACGCATGCAAATGACTTTTGTTACTGACTTACCGACATTATTTTGTAGACTGTTGAAAGGGGAAGTTCTGTACGGGTCCGCAAATGATCCCGGACCGCAAATGATCCCCAAATTGGACCGCAAATGATCCCGACTAAAAATTAACGAATGGCATGGATGGTGGGATGGGTGGATAGGGAATTGGCGTACGTGAATACCGATGTTTTTATTAAAGCCATCTTATAATTATAATGGCTTACAACTTGCTCTTTTTTCA